AATTTCTTTCCTTCTGCCGAAAGTTTCTTTTAAAGCAGTCGATAATTTTAACAATTTCTTGTCATTAAGCTTAGGGGACTTATGTTTATTATTTTCAGTTATAAATTCCTCCTAAAATTATCATTATATATAGTCATTTGCGCATCTGAATTAGCATTATTAAATATATTGTTAACTGAGATAGTTGTGCATTAAAATAATTACTTGTTATAATCTACTTACCTTAATTATCCAATAATTTTCTACTATCTTTTCGACATTTTCTTATTATACTACGAGTTATAATGGTAATGAAATATAATAACAATATATGGCGCAACATATTATACATTCTGCTAAATTACTTGAGGAAAAGCGTAATAACGCACGTCAAGGGGGAGGGGTAGAAAGGGTAGCTGTTCAACATAAGAAAGGTAAACTAACTGCTAGAGAAAGACTCGAAGTCCTGCTAGATACTGAAAGTTTTGAAGAAATAGGGATGTTTGTTGAGCATAGATGTAATAATTTTGGCATGGAGAGTAAAAAATTTCCCGGAGATGGAGTAATCACCGGACAAGGTACTATAAATGGTAGGCTAGTTTTTGTCTATAGCCAAGATTTTACAGTCTTAGGAGGTTCTTTAGGGGAATATCATGCGAAGAAAATATGTAATATCCTTGATGCCGCTTTGGCAGTGAGAGCACCAGTTATTGGTATAAATGATTCAGGAGGAGCAAGAATTCAAGAAGGTGTTGATGCATTAGGAGGCTATGGAGAGATATTTCAACGTAATGTCATTGCTTCCGGAATTATCCCGCAAATTAGTTTAATTATGGGTCCCTGTGCAGGAGGAGCTGTATATTCTCCTGCTTTAACAGATTTTATATTTATGGTTAAGAATAGCTCTTATATGTTTGTAACAGGGCCAGACGTAGTGAAAACAGTAACAGGAGAACCAGTTATCCAAGAAAAACTAGGAGGCGCCCGTATGCATACTGCTAAAAGTGGGGTAGCTGATTTTGCTTTTAAAAATGATATAGAAGCTCTGTTGGAAACTAGAAGATTTTTTAATTTTTTACCCCTGTCGAATTGTAGCCCCTCATCAAAGCGCAAAACTGAAGATCCCGCCGATCGGGTTGATATGTCTTTAAATACTTTGGTTCCCACTATTCCAAATAAACCTTATGATATGAAGGAGCTAATCGAACGCATTATTGATGAAGGAGAATTTTTTGAATTACAGCCTGAATTTGCTAGAAATATAATTATTGGCTTTGGGTATATGGAAGGAAGGTCTATCGGATTTATTGCTAATCAGCCATTACATTTAGCGGGATGCTTAGATATCAATGCTTCAAGAAAAGCTGCAAGATTTATACGTTTTTGTGATGCCTTTAATATTCCAATAGTAACGTTAGTTGATGTGCCAGGCTTTTTGCCTGGCACTGACCAGGAGCATGATGGTATTATTAAGCACGGAGCAAAATTGTTATACGCTTATGCTGAAGCAACTGTTCCTAAAATCACTATTATTACTAGAAAAGCTTACGGTGGCGCCTATATCGTGATGAATTCCAAACATTTACGAGGTGATATTAATTACGCCTGGTATAACTCTGAAATTGCAGTACTTGGAGCAGAAGGGGCTGCAGAAATAATATTTAAAGAGGAATGTAAGGATCCAGAATTAAAAAAACAAAAAATCCAGGAATATAAAAATACTGTTACTTCTCCATTTGTTGCCGCATCAAGAGGTTATTTGGATGATATTATAGAACCTCAAAACACCAGGTGGCGTATATGTAAAGCGTTAAATATTCTTCAAAATAAAAAAGTACAATTACCCTGGAAAAAGCATGATAACTTACCACTTTAATTCTACTCCCTTCCCCTCCTAAATTTGTACTTTTAGCATGTTTTATTTTTTATAATATATTTTTAAGCACGAGATTTTATGACTAAGCCATTATTTGATAAAATTTTAATCGCTAATCGTGGTGAAATAGCTTTAAGAATAATGAGAACATTAAAACAAATGGGTATTAGATCAGTGGCGGTATATTCTGAAGCTGATACTCATTCAATGCATGTACAATATGCTGATGAAGCCTATTATATCGGTAGTTCTCCTGCCACAGAAAGTTACTTATCGATCAAAAACATTATAAATGCTATTAGAGCAAGCGGCGCAACCGGAGTACATCCAGGGTACGGTTTCTTATCAGAAAATGCTAATTTTGCTAATATTTTAAAAAGAGAAGGAGTGACGCTAATAGGGCCTAATGCTTCTGCTATTAAGAAAATGGGGGATAAAATAGAAGCAAAAAAAATTGCTATTGAAGCCGGGGTAAGTACGGTGCCGGGCTATATTGGTACTATTAGCAATATCAGCCAAGCAGTAGAAATCGCAGAAAAAATAGGGTTTCCTGTAATAGTCAAAGCCGCAGCAGGAGGAGGTGGCCGAGGAATGAGAGCAGTAAAAAATTCTGAAGAAATGGCTAATGCTTTTGAATCGGCTAAGCTTGAAGCAGTAAATAATTTTAGTGATGGAAGATTATTTATTGAAAAGTTAATTAAGTCTCCGCGACATATTGAAATCCAGTTAATAGCTGATCAGTACGGTAATAGTGTGTGCCTTGGTGAACGTGAGTGTTCCATTCAACGTTATCATCAGAAGGTAATTGAAGAGGCGCCGAGCTCCTTTATTACCGAAGAAATAAGACAAAAAATGTATGAAGAAACAATAGCTTTATCAAATAAAGTTGGTTATTACTCCGCAGGTACAGTGGAG